GGTGGGCCTTGGCAGGAGGGGGTGCATGAGGAGATACCGCGGCTTCACAGGGCCTTGATGGGGAAGGGGTCTGGGTGGCCTCATAGGAGGAAATCCAGCCGGAGGACCTGGCCGAGGGAGTGCGGCTTGATGGCGCTGGTGGAGGTGAGAGGGAGAAGGCACTTGGCCTGCAAAAGGCTGGCCCTCAGGCCGTGGCTTTGAAATCCTATGTACGCGCTGGTGGCACTAACACAAATAACGCCTCCTCTTTCCTGTCTCTCCTGGTTGCACTAGGTGTCTGCTTGCATTCCTGTACTTAGGCTGGCAAGAACCCGTAAGAAGGTTTTGTTTTATTGTCACTTTCCTGATCAGCTTCTGACCAAGAGAGAATCTCTCCTAAAGCGCATCTACAGATTACCGCTTGACTGGCTGGAAGAGTACACGACTGGCATGGCAGACTGCATCGTTGTGAACAGCAGGTTCACTGCCAGTGTCTTCAAGGACACGTTTAAGTCCTTACATCACATAAAGCCAGATGTCCTCTACCCGTCGCTCAACATCAGTAGCTTTGAAACAGTAGTTCCTGCGGACATAGCTGACCTGATACCAAAAAAGAAAAAGTTCTTGTTTCTTTCCATTAATAGGTATGAAAGAAAAAAGAATTTAGCATTGGCTCTTGAAGCTTTGCATGACCTTCGAGGAAGACTTGATTCTCATGAGTGGAATGAAGTTCACCTGGTTATGGCAGGTGGTTATGATAAACGAGTTCTGGAAAACGTGGAGCACTACGAAGAGCTGAAGAGACTTGCAGACAAGCTTAGTGTTAATGACCATGTCACTTTTCTGAGATCTTTCTCAGATGAACAGAAAATCTCTCTTTTTAGTAACTCTGTATGTGTGCTTTATACACCAAGCAATGAGCATTTTGGCATTGTTCCTCTGGAGGCAATGTACATGAGATGTCCAGTTATAGCGGTTAATTCAGGTGGTCCTTTAGAATCAATTGTGCATAACGTTACAGGATTTTTGTGTGATCCTCTGCCAACACAATTCTCTGAGGCTATGGAAAAAATTGTGAGAGATCCTCTCTTAAAGGACACAATGGGAGCAGCTGGGAGAGCCAGAGTTACAGAAAAATTTTCCTCAGAAGCATTCACGGAACAGCTGTACCAATACATATGCAGATTAACACAATAAAATTATATTCTCATATTATATTTTACCGCTTTGTATTTATTATTTGTATAGGGGACCAGTGTTCATTGTGACTATGATGAAGAACCTGGGACGTCTGAATATCCTTGTACTTCTTGTGCTGCCTTATGTCCCTCGATACAGAGAACGAGCAAAACATGTCCCGCTGCCTCATGAGAAGGTTAGCGTGTACATGTGGTAGGCTGATCTGCCGTTGCAAGAGTAATGTGCCTTGGAAAAATGCCTACAGCTAAATGGCTGTAACTTACTAGGAAATCATTGCACACTTTACTTTGCATGGTTGGTTCAATTTACAAAATGTGGATTTGTACAGATAAGCCCGGCCTTTTTTTTTAATGTATTTAAAATGTTTATCAGTAATTTTTAAGTAAGAGACCTATCTCAGCTGAAGCATGGAGAGAATTGCACAATCCGACCAACTGCATGTTTAGAAAAGCCAATGCTGTTAGGGATATGAATGGTATGGTTTTACAGTGATTGACCTCTTACTGTACTTCCTAAATTGCATCATGTGGTCACACTGGATGTCAAACCAGCGGGTGGGTGTGTGAGCAGGAGGAAGCTGAGGCTAACGTAAAACTGAGAACATAGGACAACCTTGGGCGAAAATGTTAGCGCTGAAATTCTATGTCTACGCAGATGCCTGCAGTGCTCAAGGATGTAATTTTGCTTTGAGAGTCTCTGGTTTGTAGACGCTTAAATGATACCCTCTTTATTTAAAGTTTCATTCTAAATATCAGCACGCTTTAAAGAAGGTGGTAATCTGGAGCAGGCAATAAAGACATTTTATTTTGCCTGATGTGGTAACTTTTTGGTATAATTTGCATGACTAGTTGTAACTGGGGGATACTTTTCTCCTAATGCAGTGACTGGACATGGGAGAGTAATTTGACTGGAAATCAAATTTAGTGATGGATGGACAACTAACAGTGTGGAGAGGGAGAAGCCTGGCAGACAGGATGGGGAGAGAAGCAACTCATCCCTCAATTGTCTTCCAGGTTCTGGTGGCAAGTCAGCACCACTGTTTGTTCTTCTGCTACCTCAAGAATGTGCTACCACTCCTGAGAGGCAGCTTTGATTTTAAGGTGCTGCTTGTCCCACATGTCATAATTCCTCTTGGTGGGGGTGAGCGGCCTAGAGAAACAGATATATGGTCATGGGTCCTGCTTTGGGCCTGCTTTTGGGAGAGTATGGCCCCTGTGACACAGGAGTATCTGCTTCCACAATTAAATGCCAGCCAGAGCCTGGGCAGGGCTGTGAGGTGGACTGTGGTGAATGCCTGTTTCAGTGCCTCAAAAGCTGTGTGTGCTTTTGCCCCTAGAAGGTGAGGTCCCTTCCAGGTAGGTGCTGTTACAGGAGCCATGATACTGGAAAACCGTTGCAAGTTGTCAAAAGGAGTTTGCAAATTCTAAGAAATTGCAGTGACTGCCTGCTAGAAAGGAGGGTGTGGAAAGTGCATTCTGAACCAGATACAGACACTCTGTGGAACTTGCGATACGGTATGGTCTCTTCTATGCTCTGACCACCTTCCATCGTTTTGTAAGTGATGTCCTGCACAGCCTGCTTGATAACTGTGTAGTGGTATTCTGGACATCTTCCTGTTCTCTGATGTTCAAACCAGAGTCACATGGGCAGTAGCAGCTCCATGTCAAACCCCAGAGATTTGCTCTTTTCCACAGCACAGGGTTGAGTTTATGGGATACCTGGTGCCCCCCAACTGTTGACATGTGGATCCCAGCCAGGCTGAAGCCACTTTTAAGTTGGCAGGCTCCTTCTGTGAAGGGTCAGAAATCACCATACTTATTTTTGACAAAAAATAAGGGGCACAGGCAGGTGAAATAGAAGGGCAGATCAACCCGCATACCAGATTGTTCTTAAGATACTCCTTGGGGGCTGCTGATCTGGAGCATGACAAAGCCTAGATGCTCCCAAAAGGCAGTAAAGGAGTTTGTGGGCAGGGGGTGTTGCTCTGGATGTGGAGAAGCCCACAGGGCTGTGATCTGCCTTTGCATATTGGTCACAGTGTCCTGCGGGGCTTGGGGTCGAAACAGAAACTGCAGGGTGGCCATAGGGTCAAGCCTCATGACACCTAGGTGCAGGGAGGCTGTGGGGGCAAGCCGTGGTTTAGTCTGAAGGCCAGGCTCCATGGTACTCAGCTCAGGGCCTGAGAAGGTCTGAGCTAAGCGCCAGGGAGCAGCAAGAGCAAGACTTCTCCAAAACAGAGAACAAGCCAGGAGCCAAGGATGGCCATAACGAAGGCTGGGCAATGATCTCACTGAGAAGGTGCAGTCCGACAGCTCTTGAACTGGGCAACTAGAGAAGGGGTGGTGTCAAAAGAAGATCCTACCAACCATCAGGCAGAAACAAGGTAACACGTCAGGTGCAGGTTCAAACCAGGAAGGCCAAACAGTTCCACAACAGGAGGAGGTTCACCTACAACACAGCTCATGCAGAAACTGAAGGCCCTAGCCTGGGTATAAATGGAACCCCTGTACCCACGAGCAGTGGGTGTGGGTGGAGGCCCCAGGTCAGGGCCAGTAAGGCCTGTTGGTTGAGTGATTGCTGAGCTGCTGAGAGACCCTGTCCCTGCCACCAAGCTACTTGGGTACAGTGGAGGCTGGTGAGGTCACCACCCCGTGTGCAGGGACAGCCCTTGGCTCCTGACTTACGTGCCTTTGTGGAGCACTCTCGCTCTTGCAGAGCCCTGACAGTTGAGGGATGTCTTGAGCCAGTTGTGGTTTCTTTGTGTTATTCAAACAGATTTCTCCTCCATTACTTTTTCCATTTTCCCTTTGAAATTCATGGAAATGTATTTAATTTGTAACACCCAACTACAAGGACTTCCACAATTTAATTCCCCACTGCATGAAGACCACCTTCTTCAGACTGCTTAGAATTTACCTCCTGCTTGCTTCATTTTAAGCTTAATTTTTTCGTTTAGAAGAGACTGAACAACTAAACCCCATCCATCTTCTCCACACCATTCATAATTGCGGTATAGTGGCAAAGGCCTCTCTTTTTGCCATCCCTTCTCACTTTCTGCTGCTGGAGAGGGACTCTACTGCTTCCCCCAGAGCCCACTTCCTTGGCATGGGATAAGGCAGGAGATACAAAGGTGGTGTTTTTTTCCTTGTTTAATTAATCTTCCCTGGGTTACCTCTTGACCGGGGAGGCACAAATCAACACCTCTTTGCCTCTGTGGTTTAGGTTCAGTAACCCTCGGCAATCCTGGGTGGACTGCAGCTTGAAGAATAACATTGTGTGTGTATGAATTGCCTCAGGATTTTTCGCCGTGTCCAGTATTTACCTTACATTCCTGTCTTGAGCTGTTGAGTGCTACTGCTGTGCGTGAGGAAAGCTAACTGTGTTCTAATACTACATAGTGTTTCAGAGCTGTAACCTTTGAGTTTAAAGCTGTGGTTGTCCTTAAACGTTTTTGGATTTTGCTGTGACTGATATTGGTATGTTCTCTTGTGCATCTCTTCATGTAGTCCCATACTGTCCTTTCACTACTGCTGTTTTGAAAACCCACACATGAAAATGAAGTTTTAGGTTTACAAAAGAAACTGTTTCAGAAGTGAAAGCTCTTGGTCAGTTACTTATTTTACACCAGTGTAGCTTTGTTTCCTCTCTACTTCTTCTTTTTGGAAATCAAACAAGAATCTTGATTATACAAGTAGGATGCATTTGTCAGTGATGAGCCACCTGTCGATTAAATAGAAACAGCTCCGCTGTGAGAGGACAGTAAGTGCCCCCATAATTTACAAGTCAGCATGTTCTGGGGGGTATCAAGTACATTTTGTTATGCTGTCTCAAGACAAACACAATACAGGAAAACCAAGGCTAACCAGTGTGGTATTTCCAACATGGCAGATTTTTAAGGCAAAAATTATTTGTACCTGTTTTGAATCTGGGTTAGAAATCGACACTCTTCGTGTATATGTCTTTCCTCCTTTCTCCTTCATTTAAATAAAAATATATTTAAGATAATTTTACTTAAATCAAATGCAAATGCCTTGTGCAATCTGCTACCAGAAGAAATATTAAGTATTGAACTAGTACAATTAAATACATTATCATTAGCCTACCAGAAAATAAAGGTTTTAAATTCATAACCCACCAGCTTGGTGTGAAGGCTGATGCAACAAGAAGAAAATGGTTGTGAGGAGGAATTCATATCCTATCCTCTCCTTCCCATATTCGCACATACTTCTGCTTTCAGGAAGTCAAGGAGAGAAGGGATTAGGTTTTAGTTTCTTCACTTACCAATACTGTGGGCTGGAAAGGGGAAACCCACAGTTTTCCTTCTTCAATTTACCTTTAATACCTGTAGTAAATATGATAAGCCAGAAACAAATAATTTCATACGCATGATTTTTATACAGTAATTTTCAGATTATAAAATGAAATCAGAAAACCAGCAATTTCAGGATTAAACCAGCCAGCTAATGCTGCCTTTTTACGTCTCTCCACCCCCTTCATTACTTTCTTTTTTTTACAATTTTACACAATATAAAAAATTTATAGATTTTAACATTTACATGGAGTCTATAAAAAACTCATGCTACATTATCATATTACTAAACTTTTTTCATTATGGCTTTATTATTCTCTCTCATGGATTAAATGGCTGGTATTTTATTTTGAATTGTAATTTATACAGTAAATATCACAGGGGTATTTTTAATGAAACAATAACTGTAGGACAGTGAAAAAATATAGTATTATGAAAGGAGTGTATTCAATAGCATGAATGTTAACACAAATAGTAGAGAAGGAAATAGACATTTTAATTATAGTTACCTTTATCTGCTTTTATGGTGAAACTAGAACATGTGACACAAAAATAAATAAATCAAAGGTTAGTCTCCACTGATTTATGGATGTGCAGCTCTACAGTGCTGGTTATTTTATGCTCAAGATTAACTGGGTTGCTTCCAGATTTTTACACTCTTAGTTGTATGGGAAGACCAACAGGTTTGACCTTATGAACTCTGAG